CGGCACAAACTTCTAGTTTGCAGTAATCAAAAATGACATTTTTCTAAAATGGTTCTGGTCCATCTCAGGTTTCTGAAGCTGTCCTGCTCGGTGCCTCAGGTGAGCTGATCAGCTGCTCCTGGAGCTGCAGAGGTCCAAACGTAGGCTGAGAGGAGACAGAGCTTTTTGTGTTGCTGCAGCTCCAAGATTATGGAACAGTTTTCCACTTTCTGTGAGACAAGCCCGTTCTCTGTCCACTTTTAAAACTTATCTGAAAACACATTTCTACTCCCTGGCTTTTGGCACAGCCTCAGACTTGTTTTTAATTCCTATTTTATTGTTTTTTATTGGTTTTAGTGTTTTTAATTGTTGTTTTGTGTTTTTTGTGTACTTGATTTTATATACGGTATGTACAGCATTTTTTTTGCAGCTGTGGTTGTTTTAAAGTGTTTTATAAATAAAGTTGAGTTGAATTGAGTTTCTTCAGCCTCAGCTCCGCACCGACTGAAAACCAAAACTGGACTCCTGCAGTTTAGCTCAGTGTCCAGCTGTGTGACTACTTGTCATAACATAGATACCAGGTCTCTGTCAGTAAAACATAACATTTATTTTGGGGAGGATATTTTGTTTACAAGAAGGGTGGCATTGAAATAGAAACACCTTTACAAAGGAAAATCATGTTAATGATTATTTTTATTTTTTATATAATGAATCTTAAAAGATTAAAACAGACTTGTCATGTCAGCATTATCTGCAGACGAGGTCATATTTTGAAGCTAAAAAAGAGTTTAGTTTCTAAGAAAACTTTTAAAAACAAAGTTCAGTTAGTTGTGAGACATGGCCAGTGGTGGTCAGAAGGTCATGTCAGGGGTCACGATCGTTAATGTTACACAACAGATGCCTTTTCAACACCTAAATCTTGAATCAACAAGAGAGTTGGTGGTTCGATTCCCTGTTGTTCAGTCAAGTGTCCCTGGGCAGAACACTCTGTGTCCCATCAGTGTATGAATGTGATTTAAAGCACTAATTAGTCTACATACATGATTTTTACATGTTAGCTTTGTAGAGAGATAATAAAGTGCTGTGTAAATGTGTAAATGAGGACACAGGTTGTAGTGTGAAGCACTTTGAGTGTCCTGGTTGGATAAAAGATGTTTATATAAGTACAGCTCTTTTAAAGGGATCCCCGATTAGTTGTAACATTAGTCTTTATATGATAAACATATACTTTAACTGTAAAATAAAGACTGAAAAAATACTGTAGGATGTTCAGTTTTTATCATTTTTAAACTAAAAGTTTTAAAATATATTACACGGACAGGGCCATTTTATTTTCATGCAAAGCATTCTGGGTAAATGATGACATCAACTAAGTCATCACTGCGAGGCTGCTAGCGAGCTATATCCACCCTGAAGGTTATAATCTTGGACAATATCTGATGATTGACTCTTTTAAATGAAACCAGAGAGCGTTGACAGAGAGGAGAAGGTAGAAATGACTCAGCCT